CATCTCCCCCCCCACACATCCGCCGGCGGGCTTGAGGGGACGGGGCCAGGCCTGGGTAGGCCTCGGTAGGCCCCGGTGTGTCCCCCCCCACCTCGCCGTGAGACCCGGGGGGGGTCCCAGCCGGGCAGAGGTTCACGGGTGGCCTCGGTTGGGACGGGCCCGTCCTCAGAGGCTCGGCCTCGGGGGGGGGAAGGGGGGGGCGGGGGCCCCGGGCCGGTACCCCGGGGGTAAGCTCCGTCTGGCCTGGTCCTCCCTGCGGCCTGGTCCCCCCTGTGGGCTCGTCCTCCCTGCGGCCTGGTCCCCCCTGTGGGCTCGTCCTCCCTGCGGCCTGGTCCCCCCTGTGGGCTGGTCCTCCCTGCGGCCTGGTCCCCCCTGTGGGCTCGTCCTCCCTGCGGCCTGGTCCCCCCTGTGGGCTCGTCCTCCCCACTGCCTGGTCCCCCCGGCCTTGAGCATCAACCCGTTAATGAAGGCACAAGCCATAATTGTCCCTAATCTTGACATCCTCACTGAGCTCTTTGACCCCGTCTGGGTCCCACAAGTCTGTTGGGTTCCCTCCAGCTGCTGACCCCCCCAAGGAGGGGGCAGAAGCGCAGCCCGAGCTCAGTCCCTGCTGGGGAGCCTGGAGGTTGTTCCTGGTGGGCTCCTGACCCCTGGCCAATCCATCACCCCCCCAGCTCCTGGCCGTGCCCTGTGCGGACACTGGAAGCTCCCACGTCGGCCCCCCTCGTCATGAGGTGATGGAAGGGCCGGGTTGTGTTCCTACAATCTGGGCCAGGTTTTATTCCCACAAAAGGTGTCAGGGGGTAGGAACGTCCCCGTTTCCATCCAGCCACCAGGCCCAGAGCTCCCCAGGCCCATGGAAACGGCGCCAGGAGAAGGGGATTGCCAAAATTCCCTCATTTCTGTGGTAGAACAGAGGTTTTAAATAGTTCTGGAGAATCCCCCGACTCTAAGAGCAGGTTGGAGAAGTACCCAGAGGTGCCCGAATCCCTCTCCCAGCGTTCCCGGAGCAGGTTTCCCAATAGGAATCCTGTGCCCCGGCCGGTTGCCGGGAGCTTTGTGGCGAGTGGCTGCTGCCACCGGGTGGCCGTCGGTCCCCGCTGCAGCTGCGCGGACCTTCCCGAGTTCAGATTTTCATTTACGTGATAATTTACCCGGCCTCTATTTTGTTCATATTCCCCTTTTTTTCTTTTTTTTTAGCGCGGTTTCCAGAGCGAGCAAAACACGCTTCGTGTTTGCGGGTGGAGGGAAACGCAGAAAGACAGATTAATTTAATGAAGATGAATTAAGACTTTGCATCTTTTTCTACTGAAATATTTTTAACCCGCTTCTGCCTTTTCGTGTCTTTTTTATTTCCCCCCCCCCCGTTGGTGCAGGTGCTCCTTCCCAGCTCCCTCCTGGCCGGAGGGAGCAGTGGGCTTGGGGGCTGCAGCTTTTTTTTGGAGCCCTGGCTGCTTTCTGTGACAAGGTGTGCTGCGTCGTGACAGGAACGGGCTTTTTAAAGCCCTTTGAGCCCCCTTGGCACATTCCTTCGAGGCTTTTTCTCGCCTTTTTCTCAAATATTTAAAGAGTTGGGGCCGTTTTGTTTTTTTTTTTTTTGGCGGCTGTGCTTTAGTAGGGTTTGCAGCTGTGAAGGAGCTTTAATAGAATTTACAGCTGGGCTGAAGGAGCCCCTCTCTTAAAATAACCATCGCAGCTTCGTGATTGGGGAGAATGTGCCTCCCACGAGTTGCTTTGTCTGTAGCTGTGAAGGCTCCGGAGTGAGAGGGGAGGACACGAGCCAGCCCCAAACTTTTGTACGCGGTTAAATAGGAAGCATAATCCTGTGCTTGGGGCCTGGAGATGTGAAGGAGAGGATTTGGATCTTGGTTTTTTTTTTTCTGCTTTGCTGATGATTCGCTTTCTGCTCTGGGTTTTAATCTGCCGAGTGTTTTTTCTCCATCAGTAAAACGGGAATAGGAAAATCTCAGCGTGTTTTGAGATCATTAAGGGATGGGTTTGGGGAAACTTTATGCACTTTTTAATGCTTCCAAAGATCTAAAGGGTGGGTTGAGGGAGGATGGAGCCGGACTCTTCTCAGTGGTTCCCAGTGACAGGACGAGGGGCAACGGGCACAAGCTGGACCATGGGAAGTTCTACTCAAATACAAGGAAGAACTTCTTTGGGGTGAGGGTGGCAGAGCCCTGGCAGAGGCTGCCCAGGGAGGGTGTGGAGTCCCAAACCTGGAGATCTTCAAGCCCCGCCTGGATGCTCCTGAGTGATGTGCTCTGGGCAGCCCTGCTTTGGCAGGGCAGTTGGACTGGATGATCTCTAGAAGGTCCCTTCCAACTCCGACAACTCCATGATTCCATAAAGGGCTGGATGGGAAAGCCAGCAGGTGGGGAACGGCGCAGGATACGGTGTGGTTGGAACCCAGCGAGAGCTGCGGGTCCTTTTGTTTCGCAAACTGAGCAGCGGTTGGTGACGGGGGAGCCCACGGAAGGAAGGCGTTATCGGAAAAAAAGCGGCGTAACCGATGCCGCCCGCCGTTGGTGGCGCCGGGCCAGGCCTTCTCATCGCTGGCTCCCAGAATATACGGTGGGGAAAGCAGTGAGACTCCCCCAAAAGGGGTTTAAGTCTCACCCTTGTGGTTTGCAGGGAAGAGGTGGACGAGAGCCACCTCAGCGTGTGCAATTCACAGGGAAGCCCTCCCTCCGGAGACCGGGACCCCGGCCAAAATATTGGAAAACTGCCAGTGGCGATGGAAGGGGAAATGGTGTGAGTGTCACGTCCTGGAGATGCTCCCTCTGATCAGTGGGAGGGGTGGGGGGATGCCTGGTGTGTCTGAGAAGACACCTCAGCCTTGCTCTGCTGGAGCTTGTGGGTTTGGTGCCGTGGAGGCAGCCCGGTCTCAGCTTCCCAGGGGCAAACAGCAGGCAGGGAGCAGGAGAGAGGAGGGAACGTGCCTGGCAGTGCCCAGCCGGCTGCAGGACCCGGTCAGCAAACTGCTTACACGGGTGTTACCCTCAGAGCCCACACTTTCATTCTGTCTCTGTTCCAAAAAATGAAAAAAAAAAGGTTTAAATTCCATCCAGCACATGGAAACTGGAATGTGCGTGGAGACACTTGGTGTTTCTGCTGAGGCGGCCGCTGAGCCCGTCTGCTTCTGGTATTTACACTGGCCCAGTAAGAGATGAGCTGAAAGCACATGTTACAACCTCTCTCTGCATCCTGGCCAAGGTTAAAAAGTCAGAGAAGTTGTTTTTTTTTTTAATAGGAACAGTATCAAAAAGGTCTTCTGCATCAGCTTCCCAGGGGCAAACAGCAGGCAGGGAGCAGGAGAGAGGAGGGAACGTGCCTGGCAGTGCCCAGCCGGCTGCAGGACCCGGTCAGCAAACTGCTTACACGGGTGTTACCCTCAGAGCCCACACTTTCATTCTGTCTCTGTTCCAAAAAATGAAAAAAAAAAGGTTTAAATTCCATCCAGCACATGGAAACTGGAATGTGCGTGGAGACACTTGGTGTTTCTGCTGAGGCGGCCGCTGAGCCCGTCTGCTTCTGGTATTTACACTGGCCCAGTAAGAGATGAGCTGAAAGCACATGTTACAACCTCTCGCTGCATCCTGGCCAAGGTTAAAAAGTCAGAGAAGTTGTTTTTTTTTTTAATAGGAACAGTATCAAAAAGGTCTTCTGCATCATCTCCCTGCTCTGCGATCTCTTTCAGAAATGACTTTCTTCTTCACAGCCCTTTGAAGTGCCTGATAGTAAATAAAAGCACGTAATTTACCAACGTGGCTGAAACCAGAAATATCTTTCTGTGTCTGTCCTCTCTGTTTATCAATTCAGGTTTCCAAAGGCGGAGGGAGAAGTTCCCTGGCATCGGTGACCTACTGAGGCATCTCTGGAGCTCAGGATGGAGCTGGTGAGGGGGCAGGACCCCCACCTGCGAGAGGTCGTGTGGTTTGCGGTGTGTGGCAGAGCCCTGACACTTCTGCTGCAGGTAAGTCCCCTCTTCCTCAGCCAAAGACACCGTGACATCTCTTGTTTGCTGCTCCCAGGCTTCTCTCTTCTCTCCTGCCTCCTGCACCGTGAGCGAGCTGGTTCTGCTGGAGTGGGGAATCATCTTCTCCTTTGGAGAACCAGCTGCATCCAGGGAGGCAGGTTGCTGCAAAGTAAAATTACACAGACTTCCTTGTAACTTGCTGTGTTTTCCTGCTGCTGTTGCAAGGCTGAAGTCTCTGCTTATCTGCAGAAAGGCAACAATAACCTCCTCCTCCACATTCCTCCCCAGTCTCATGTCCAGAGATGTCCTTCTCTGAGCGTGGGGTTGCTCACTCCATCCTACCTGCGCATACCCTTGTGGCCAAGAAGGCCAGTGGCATCCTGGGGGGCATCAGGAAGAGTGTGACCAGCAGGTCGAGAGAATTCATTCTGCCCCTCTGCTCTGCCCTGGGGAGGCCTCATCTGGAGCACTGGGGCCAGTTCTGGGCTCCCCAGTTCAAGAAGGACAGGGAACTGCTGGAGAGGGTACAGCAGAGGCTACAGAGATGATGAGGGGCCTGGTGCAGATTAAATACTTCCGTAACGTGGGAGTGAACGATACTGGGAATAAGTCAAGCCTCTTGGGATAGTTCAGTTCTTGTGTGTCCCACCCCTGTACTAAGTTTAAGAGAAAGGAAAACGTAAAAATATATACGTAAGTATATACAGGCTGTAGAGGGTACAGCAAAGGGCTACAAAGATGTTGAGAGAACATCTTTCTTATGAGGAGAGGCTGAGGGACTTAGGACTTTTTAGTCTGGAGAAGAGAAAGCTGAGGGGGGATCTGATCAATGCCTATAAATACTTAAAGGGTGCGTGTCAGGAGGATGGGGCTGGACTTTTTTCAGTGGTGCCCAGGGACAGGACAAGAGGAAATGGGCACAAACTTGAACATAGGAAGTTCCATCTTCACTTTGAGGGTGGCAGAGCCCTGGAAGAGGCTGCCCAGGGAGGTGGTGGAGTCTCCTTCTCTGGAGACATTCAAACCCCACCTGGACACGTTCCTGTGCGACCTGCTCTGGGTGGACCTGCTTTGGCAGGGGGTTGGAGGAGATGATCTCCAGAGGTCCCTTCCAACCCTGTGTGATTCTGTGATTCTGTACTGAGAGAGCCAGGGACTCTGAAACAAAACCAGCCTGAGAAAGCTCTTCAGCCCCAGGCCACCAGCCAGCTGGCAGGTTGTGGCAGCCCCGGTCACCGCTGGGGTAGGAACCATTCGCTGAGATGAAAGACTCCGTGTTACGGGTGCCAGGGCCCCGCTTAGACCAGATGTGTGCTCCGTGGCAAAACGGCGGCTTTTAGTGTGTCTTTTAGTCCCAATTTGTTCAGTGTGGCCTCTTTTCCCTGCCAACGCCGCATGTGTTGCAGGGGACTCATCCCAAGCCACATGTAGTTAGGCCACACAATTTACCAGCCGAGGTTTTTTTAATTTTGGTGGTTTTTTTAAACATATTTTCATTTGGAATTACATTGCGACGCATTAAGTGGCGTGCCTCTTATCTCAGGAGCTTTCTGGGGTTTTCTCTCACCTTTTAAAATGTGGCCAGCACCACAAGCTCCCGCAGAGAGACGTGTGTGTTCTGCTTGACCCCCTTCCAGAAAACGAACCCCTCAGTGTTCGAGGGGTTGCAGAGGTGATGGAGTGATCTAGAGACTAGAGAGGGGGCCTGGGGATTGGCTGTTGTCTTCTGTAGGAGTTTGCTATGGAAAAATGCTTTTTCCTGGTTCTGTTTCTTTTCCCTTGTACATCAGCTGGGACAATAATGCCAATCTGAGCAGAATGGGAGGCTCAGCCATGCTGCTGAGGTACCCAGTGCTGTGTACACAGTTAGATCTGCCCAAGCATGGTGCTGAGCAGCCTTTCTCTGCCAGTTCTGGGAGGATTCCTGCTGGATATAGAATCATAGAATCACAGAATGATTCAAGTTGGAAGGGACCTTAAAGATCATCCAGTTCCAACCCCCCTGCCCTGGGCAGGGACACCTCCCACCAGCCTCACACCAAAGAATTTCGTCCCCAAATCTCATCTTAATCTCCCCTCTTTCGGTTTAAAACTGTTACCTATCTTCCAGAGGTTTATTCAGTTCAGGTGTAAATACCTCAAAAGACTGTATTTGCACCTTTTCACAGCCTTACAGGTGTCCTCCTTGCACAGCCCCTCAACCTGGCTTCTGTGCTGCTCCTGGCCCTTTCTTTGAAACCCAGGAGTCCTCCTCCTGCTTGGAGCTTTCGCTAAGCTACAAGAAGATCCCTGATAGACTCCCATCCTCTTTTTCCAGGCTCTGTTTAACCTCCTGATCCCGGATCACGCCGCGGATGCCTTCTCTCCCCCTCGCCTGCCCGAGCCTGGCCCCTGGGACCTGCTGGTGGAGCGGTTGCTGGGTGGCCTCTCGCGCTGGGATGCGGAGCATTTCCTCTTCATCGCCGAGCGGGGCTACCTCTACGAGCACAACTGTGCCTTCTTCCCACTCTACCCCCTGGCCCTGCGTGCCCTGGCCGAGGGGGCTTTCTGGCCCTTCCAGGGGCTGCTACGGCTGCGAAGCCGCCTCCTGCTTTCGGCCGTGCTTCTTAATTCTCTTTTTTCCACCCTGGCAGCCTCTGCCCTGTATCAGCTGGGCTGCGTCGTGCTGCGTTGTCACAGGGTGGCTTTCCTCGCTGCCCTTCTCTTCTCTCTCAGCCCTGCCAACGTATTTATGGCAGCTGCTTACTCGGAGAGCATGTTTGCCTTCCTGGCTTTCAGTGCCATGTGGCAACTGGAGAAGGGGCAGAGCTGGCTCAGCGGACTGCTCTTCTCCCTCGCTTCTGGGGTGCGTGCCAACGGGCTTATTAATGCTGGCTTCTTCCTCTACTCCCGCGGTAAATGCTTTGCCCTCCAGCTCCAGGGGGGCTCGGGGGCAGTAAAGAAGCTCCCTCCCTTGTGGAAGCAACTCCTGAGCGTGGCATCTTCAGCAGTCTTGATGTGTGCTGGGATTTTTCTGCCTTTTACTTTATTTCAGTATTATGCCTACGTGAGGTTCTGCGGTGCTGGCACCGGCCTGGAGCCACCTGTCCCCAAGCCACTGCTGCAGCTGGCTCTGGACAAGGGCTATCGTCTGGTGGCCACCGATGGGGATAAGCCCCCTTGGTGCTCCCAGCGATTCCCCGTGGTCTATTCCTATGTTCAAGACGTTTACTGGAATGTGGGCTTCCTAAGGTACTTTGAGCTCAAACAGATCCCAAATTTCTTGCTTGCTTTGCCTGTCACGCTCCTGGGCTCTTGGGCTGCCTGGACCTATGTCGTTGCAAACCCCCGGCACTGCCTAACTCTTGGTCTAGAGAGAAGAAAGAGCGAAGAAGAGGGTAAACCAAGAGCTGGATTTTGCTGCCCGGCTGTCTTCGTGTACGTGGTCCATGCCACGGTCCTGCTGGCCTTTGGATTCTTCTGCATGCACGTGCAGGTGGGACCTTCACAGCAACACATTTCTTATGATTTCTTAAGAGAGTTTCTATGATTTCCTAAGAGAGTTTCCAAAACCAGTTAATTCTTCTCTGCCGGAGAGTTCCCAAAGAGATCATCCCAGGGACTCGGTGCGAGGAGGACATGGGGACAGGGATCAAAGGGTCTGCCTGGTCTTGGTGGTGTTTGACGTGGGCTTGAGGCCAGGTTTGCCAAACCCTGTGAGTCAGCTGTTGTGGGACAAGGGTCCTGGATCATTGTCACGTTGGGCCAAGCTTAATGGGTGGCAATTAGAGCATCCAGCGCCTGTCACCAGCCCCAGCAAAGTGTGTGAAGGTCTATTTAGGACACAGCAAGTGGCACTAAAGGTTGGGCGCCTGTCACCAGCCTCTGCAAAGGGTGTGAAGGTCTATTTAGGACACAGCAAGTGGCACTAAAGGTTGGGGGTTCCAGTGACAAAATAATTGAAGGGTAGATTCAAATCTCTCCTGAGCTGGACGGTGATGAGGATTCCACTGAGATGGTGACAATTATTTACAGTGTTTGTCCAAAACCTGGGGACCACTTGATTGCTTACGCAAACATCTTAATGAAGGAAGCAGGATGAGCTGTGAGGTGTTTCATTCCCGTGGAATTAATCCTAGCACCAGGAATTGGGGCTGTATTTAAATCCTCTTTCTCAGTGTTCAGTCTGAGGTGGATGGATGGCTCCTTCCATCCTCGGGACTGGGGTTGGTGACAGTTGGAAACCTGCACTTTGTGTGATTCTTGTTTTGCTTGTCATCTTCAGGTGCTGACCCGCTTCCTCGGCTCCTCCTCTCCCATCCTCTACTGGTTTTCTGCTCACCTCCTTCAAGAACACGAACCTCTGCTCTGGAGCGAAGGGACCCATCCTCAAACCTCAGCACCTCACTCCGAGAAGCCTCTTCGAGGTAGATCTCCAGGTTCCTGGGGGAAGGAGCCTTTGGAAAACCCCCTCCTGAGGCTGCTGCTGAACTGTGGGTTACTCACCCCCCTCGGCAAATGTGTCCTGGGATTCTTTGTGACCTACTGGCTGCTGGGACTGATCCTGCACTGCAACTTCTTGCCGTGGACGTAGCCGGGGGGGTGTTGGTGCAGACGGGTCGTGGGGCAGCAGCGCTGCTCAGAACTGACACTTGCTCCTGCTAAAAAAGCCTGATGTCTCTGTAAGGATGCTGTTGGGTGTAATGAAGGTGTCACTCCTCAGTTAGGTACCGAGCTGTCACCGCCTGGCTGTGTCTGTGTCCTCTTTGCTGTCGTGCTGCAGCATCCTGCCCCTCTCTGCTCTCACTCCTAGGCCAAAATTCCCTTAAGCTTCCCGGGATGGGGAATTCCTCCCGGTTCCTCCGTCCTCTGGGGATGTGCTGCCACCGAGATGGTGCTTATGGCACAGATCAGCATCCCAGAATCATGGAATTGTTGGAGTTGGAAGGGACCTTCTAGAGACCATCCAGTCCAACCCCCCTGCCAAAGCAGGGCTGCCCAGAGCACATCACTCAGGAGCATCCAGGTGGGGCTTGGAGATCTCCAGATTTGGGACTCCACACCCTCCCTGGGCAGCCTCTGCCAGGGCTCTGCCACCCTCACCCCAAACAAGTTCTGCCTCACATTGGAGTGGAACTTCCCATGGTCCAGCTTGTGCCCGTTGCCCCTCGTCCTGTCACTGGGAACCACTGAGAAGAGTCTGGCTCCATCCTCCCTCAACCCACCCTTTAGATCCTTGGAAGCATGAAGAAGGTCTCCCCTCAGCCTTCTCTTCTCCAGGCTCAGGAGCCCCAGCTCTCTCAGCCTTTCCCCATCAGGGAGATGCTCCAATCCCTCCATCACCTCTCTTGCCCTTTGCTGGACTCTCTCCAGCAGTTCCCTGTCCCCTGATGGGGCAGGGAGGCTCCTGCTGCTTTGCTTGAGCCGCTGGGACCCCCCCGGTTCTTCTGGGACCCCCCCGGTGCTGCTCAAACCCCCCCCCCGGTGCTGCTCAGACCCCCTGGTGCAGCTTGGACCCCCCCGCCCCGGGTGCTGCTCAGACCCCACCCGGTGCTGTTGGGACCCCCCTGGTGCTTCTGGGACCCCCCCGGTGCTGCTAAGCCCCCACCGATGTGGCTGGGACCCCCCCGGTGCTGCTCAGATCCCCCCCGGTGAGGCTGGGATCCCCCCGGTGCTGCTCAAACTCCCCCCCGGTGCGCCTGGGACCCC